ATATATATATATATATATAAATCTTACCCTTTTTTTCTTTTACTTAAATGACTGCAGATTGTAACAGGAAACCATAAATGTTTATCTTGGATAGCTTGATGCTCATAACAGTATACATGTGTTTATAATTAGTTTTGTTTTCTTGACCTTTGAACCATGGCTAATTAATAATCCTGCCACTCAAGTTGTAAATCATTCAGTGAATGTGCAGCTCACATTACCATATTGAATTAATTATGTAATGCACAAGCCTGCTCACAAGCATACGTTTTGAAGAATTTTTATTTTTTCATTTTCCTAACAAATCTACCCTTAACTAACCCAGTGAGGCTTTTAATGTTTGTTTTAGTTGCTTTTATAATAATAAAGAAATAATATACATGAAAAACAAAAAATATTAATACTTAACTGGGTCTTTTTTCTTTTTTTTGCTGTCAACCATTGACTAAACTAAGCCTACTTTTTTTTTATGGAAATGGTACTACTACACCAAATAATGTTTTATTTAATTACATAATGCACCTAAGAACACAAAATAACAGCATGTAAAAAGCAAACAATGTTCTATAACTATCATAGTTTTCTGTCTTTCTGACTATGATAAGAGCCTTTAAAGATTCAACTAAGCTTGTCAATGTGTGATTTCCATAAGAAAAAATTTGAAACTGAATGACTAAATAAACAATGCCCTGTACAGAAAACAATGTAATATGATGTTATTTGATAGATTAAGATAAAAGTTATAAATAATGTAGTAAAAAATGTCACAGAGAACTACTGGCAATTTGTGAAAAAGGTGTAACAGATGGGCATAGCAATTGGGTCTGGTTTTTTAGTTTATGGTTCCATAAACAAATACAGTTGAAGGTTCCAGAAAATATGCTTTGCTTGAGTAAAACATGTATTATAATACATAATATACATTGAATTCTGCACTTCTTGGAGGGGTGGTAAATATATTAGAGAAGAGAAGACCTAGAGAGCAAATGTCACAATTCTCGTACTAGGGGAGATTAAGGATTTTTTAAAGTATTTCCCTATAAAATTAAGAATTTTAAACTTATATTAAAATTGTATTTATTAACTACATTTTTATGCCAACTTTATTCATATACATTTATAATAAAGTAGCTTAATTAAAATTTGAATGTAACTGTAAAAGGTTGTGACATGTGCACTTTGACCTACCTGATGCAAAAGGCTAAATGGGATTTATTTATATTGCATGACAGCTTACTGAAAAGAGGCTATATTAGGCATAAAAAAACAGTAGCAGCTGACACAGAAAAAAAATTGCTTTAACCTTGAAACTTAGATTCACCTTCTTGGTCTCTCTTTTTTTAAAATGTAATGGCAGCAGGGGCAGTTATAGTCATTCTGGAGCCCCAGGCAGAATTCAGTAAGTGGGGCCCCATAATGATAAAACTTTGGGCTGGCCACAGAAGTAGATTAAAAGGCATAGCATCAGGAGCCCTTACATGTGTGGGGCTCTGGACAATTGGCCAGTTTGCCCAATAGGTAAGACTGCCTATAAATGGCAGAAAGGTACAACTGCCTGAATTTAAACTAGCTGTTCAAGTATATGGTTGAAACTTGAAAGACAAAAGTGCAAGATCACACTGATGAGCTATAGAGCTATGGTAAATGAAACAGTGGAGTACATTCAGCATCCCTCATATTTGTTTTGGAATTAGTTTTCATTGGATCTTCTATACAGTCAGTCTGAGGATGATTATGATTCCAAACAGAAAATTATCTAATATCCTTGAATGAAGTTAGGGTTAAGCCAGAGCTGGAAATATTCAAGACTAAAAAATTTGAATAAGATAGGGACCTGTATATTGTCAATATTAAAGGAAATAAAAAAAAAACCATATCTGTCAATTATTAACCTTCATTTTTAATGAATCCATTAAAAAGTAGTGAGGTGATGAAAAATAGGAAATTAGCAATGTAACGCCAGTTCTTAATGGAGGAGATAGACAGTGTTCAGGTATTTGATGGATAGTTACTCTTTTCTTCAGTGACTGGAAAATTCTACAGAGCACTCAGACAATTTTCATAATCATAGATGGTTAGCATTTATTTATAAAGGGAAAGTCATGTTATGTTAAATCAGGACTCGACAAATACCCAGTGCCAAGTCACCATGGTGACTAAAAATTTCATCGTGGTGCCTAGTATTTTCTTCTATTTTATTTGTGCATTGGAATGTGCAAAATAGAACTTAGACCTAGAACAGTTTTGGACTGTTGAAAGTCCAAAACTATTTTCGTCTTATTTGAGTCCAAAACTGAACTTTGTTTCTAGGATATTAATGGTGGATTCAGCACTTCTTCATATTTTTTTAGGAATGAAATGCTGTGGTTGCATAACATGTTACTAATTTTGTGCCATTTTGTGTTTCTTCTTTTTTTCAATTTAACCAATCGGTGCACATGTTTAGAATAAGACGGAACCAGAGGCAGTTAGTTCAGGCAATACTATCAAGTGGTTGTTGTTATCATGTGATCGTTCACATTCACTCATTTCTGTGAAAGTAAATAAATACAGCCCCCATTTCCCAGTACAGACAGTAGTGAAGTTAGGTTAGGCACACCAAAAGGCCTTTGCTTATTGTTGTACAGTGTTGTAGTGATGAGTAGATTAGACCTATTCTGAAATAACCTGCTTGGCCTATCGATATAGCATTAATTATTTTTTATTTTACCTTCATTCATTGCAAGAGTGTACCTAAGTTATAGTTATTATGTGTACTATTTTAATAATTTCACATACTGAAGTTTAACTTTAATATATGTTACATAATAAAGTTTAATAATGAACCCTTTGTTTTATAGTGTAAGACTGTATTGTCCATAACCATACGACCGACTCAAAATATATTCCATAACTTTGCTATATCAGACCTGGCTCCTAGATATGAAAATATTTGTCGAAGCCTGCATTAAATCCAGATAGGGATAATTCAGAGGAGTTGTACTTGGACTTTCAGAAGACTTTTAACAAGATGCCACATATGAAATATTTTAGGATGATTACAACTATTAGAATAGGAGATAAAATAGTTAATTAGATTGAAAGTTGGTTGGATGGTAGAAGGTAAAACAGTTATTAATCGGGTTAA